TTTTCCTGATTTTGCAAGGCACACAACATCATCCAGCCAACTTGCAGACAAATGAGTGCTCATCTAATAGCTAACTTTGGGCAACCAAACTGGGACGAATGCTTAACAAACTGGTCTTTTGGAAGCGACCTTACTTCCAAAGTTCTTACAAGCGTTGCGTCAAGGCAAGAGTTTCCCTGTGCCTTCGAGTGCCTTGTCGTGCCAAGCTGTTGTTTTTCCTCCTCCCTCCCCAATCCCTTTCCCCTTTTGTGACATGTCTTTTAGATTGCAAGCTTGAGGGAAGCGACAGTGTGTTTTGTTCTGGGCTGCAGAGCAGGGCAAAACTGCTTCAGAACAAATAAATAAAGAGGAACTTTGCACTGATCCCTTTGCGGAATTTAAAGCCTTCTGTCTGCCGCCTGCCCATCACTTTAGTTGCTGGCTCTCTTTCCTTGTGAGTCTGTCTCCTCCCCTCCAAGCATACTTGAAAGCTGCCTACTGCAGATAATCACAGGTGTGTCCTTCTGGGTAAACCTCATAAACCTTACCTCTCCAGTGCTCTCTGTTTACTTGGAAAAGACAGCCTTGATTTTCTCCCGGGACAGCCACCTAAGTTCTCTCGCTGACCTTCCAGCTTCCCTCTGAACCATACCAGATTTCTGTCCCAGATTAGCTGGGCAAGGAGAGGCTCGTTCTGCCTTTGATGGGATGGCTTTTTTAAAAAATGAGGTTTTTTGGGGGGAGGACAAGAGGGGGAAGCATCTTCATTTGAGGGCCAGTTTAATTGCTTGGCAGCTTGATGCTAATGAACATCTTGGGGAGGAGATTGGGAAGCAGCTATTGACTGGGAGGTGTCAATCAACAAAACGGGACTCTTAAAAGTTTCTAAGGATCCATAATAAATAAATGTGGAGGGCAATGGGGTGTCCTGTTCTGAGCACCACCTGAACAAGGTTGTGAAAGTGAGCCTCCAAAATGTACAGTGGTACCTCGGTTTATGAAAAGCCCTGTTTACGAACTATTCAGTTTATGAACTTCTGCAAAACCAGAAATTTACCTCGGTCTATGAACTGTACCTTGGTCTAAGAACTGAAACCGAATGGTGGAAGGGCACTAGCGGCGGGAGACCTCATTAGGGAAAGTGTGCTTTGGTTTAAGAACGGCTTCGGTTTAAAAACGGACTTCCAGAACGGATTAAGTTCGTAATCAGACTATGTTCTATATATAGACTATATTCTATATTCTATATATAGAATATACTATATAGACTATATTCTATATATAGAATATACTATATTCGTATTGTAACTTATTATTTATTTTAGATTTGCATACAATGGTCTGGTTTTCTCGTCACAGTTAACCGTGGTTTAAAAACAAGCTGTGGTTTGCGGAAGGCCCATGGCACAATGGACCAGTGAGTTTGGCTGTTGGCCAGGGACATCTGTGGGCAGGATTCCTGAATTGCAGGGGGTTGGGCTAGATGACCATCGGGTCCCTTCCAACTCTTAAGATTCTGTGAAATCTCTTGTGCAAATGTTCAGGGTGTGGGCACTGCAGGGCAAGAGCTGTAGCTCAAGGGTAGAGGTGGATGTCCCAGTATGAATCCTCAGCATCTCCAGGGTGAATGGAAAATACTCCTACCTGAAACACCTGGAATTTGGCTGCCGGTCAGTGTAGACAACACTGAGCTAGATCACAGAGCAGCTAAGAAAGCGAATTGCTGTGTGGATGGCGCAGTATAAATCCACCACTAATGCGCTTGCGGCCTCAATTTCAAGCAGATTCTTAGGTATGGCAGAAGGGATCTGAATCGTGGAAAGTTTTAGATTTGTCAAAGGGTGTGTGTGTGTGTGTGTGTGTGAGAGAGAGAGAGAGAGAGAGAGAGAGAGAGAGAGAGAGAAGAGGAATGGTTCATTATTCCGCAATTGTTCCGCTTTTTGTACTCCTCTCTACTGGACACTGCTGGAGACAGGATACAGGGGAAGAAGGATGGGTTTGGCCTCCCTTGTTTTAATTCACACCTCTGATGAAAAGCCCGCTGTGTTTCCTTTTCTGCCACCATCAGCACTTACTCAGCAGATTCCTTGAGGGCTGCCGCTGTATACAAACGAGACTCTCCCTTTTACATGACCAAGCATTCCCATTGTCCGCATGACCTTCCCAAAAGCTCCAGTCCTCAGAAATGGCTAGTTCCATCAATGATTGGCCACAAGACGGATGCTTCACATTCAAAGCGCTAATGGTCAGGTTAAACTGTATGCCCCTTGCAGCAGCAACACTCTGCCCTCCTCGAGTTTCCAGCAACTGGTGCTCAGAAGCAAACCACCTCTGAGGGAGGCAGAGGACAGCCATCCTCCTGGCTGGAAGGTGCTGGTAGCCTTCTCCTCAGTGAACTTGACTACTACTCCTTTAATGCCACCTGAGTTGGCGGCCATCGCTGCCTCTCGTACGGTGTGAGGGCAGACCATTTGACGGACAAAGATAACTGCTCCTCAGCTGATCTGCCTCTGTGTGCCTGTGTGTCCTCTGTGGCTACAATTGCACTGTGCATGTAAAGCACTATGATGGCCGCTTTAAACAGTCATGGCTTCCTCCCAAAGGATTCTGGGAGCTGCAGTGTGTTAAGGGCACGGAGAGTTGCGAGGAGTCCCCTGTTTCCCTCACAGAGCTGCAATTCTGAGAGTTCCCTGGGATGAGGGATCAGTTGTTCAGCCCTTCTGAGGGAAACGAGGGCCTCCTCACCCCTCTCGGCACCCATAACAGACCACAGCTCCCAGAATCCTTTGGGGGAAAGCCATGACCTGATGCATACCTAAGGGTTGCTGAAACGGGCCCTCGCCAGGGGCGCAGGCCCAGGGAGGGGGTTGCAAAAATTACCTTTCAGACCTATGGAGTGCATGACATATATGTGCGAGGCAACATATATGTCAAGATCAAACATGGGAGGAGCTTCCCGCCCTTCTGGCCCTTACAGCACAAAGGCGTGCAGATGTTTTCTGCCCTTCCTTCTCACCTTGCACTCACTCTGGACACTTCAAGTGCTTGGGTCATGTAAAATGTAGTAATTCCTAAGGTGTTTATTGAAGTAAAGTGATTTTTGGGGGGTGGGTGGGAGGACAATACAGATCCTTGCCAAGGGCACAAGAGACCCTCCATATGCCTCTGGCTATGACTGCTTAAAGAGGCATCATAGTGCTTTAAATGTCAGGTGTGTGTGTCGTGTGAGCGTGTGTGTGTGTGTGTGTGTGTGTGTGTGTGTGTGGAGGGTAGCCACCGCACACACTTGGCCACACCTTCTGCCAGCATATAGCAGTTTAAACACTTGGGGAGGACTATGTAAATGCTATTCTCATTAGCCCTCCGACTCAGCTAAATGAATTCTAGCTAATTGATTAATTGTATAAGGGGGGGGGGACAAAAAAAAGGACACTTATTTGATTTCAGACGAACTGAGGGAACGAAATGGAGTATCATCTGAAAGGGCATGGCTGGCTGACTAAGAACCCTGAACACTCCACACTGCAGTGCTTTGATGCAGATCACACATAAAATCATAGAACTGTAGAGTTGGAAGTGACCCTGAGAATCATCACGTAGTTTTTTAGGACAATGACACGCACAGGCCCAAAATCCCTTAGTGCGCTTAGCAGAATTGAACCTAGGTCTCCTCAATCCCCGCCTTAGCCTCTAACAACGTCATCACAATCCATTCGCGTCTTAATATGTACAGCAATTTATATCCTTCAGCCGGCGAGTTATAAATACAGAAGCGCTGCAGACTTGGCCGTGACCCTCGCTTAAACTGCGTTCGCTGCTGAGCTTTCTAACTCTCCTCCTCAAATTAGGACGGCAGAGACTAAATTGACCCTTGAATCCAACCCCAACACGGGCAAGCGCCCCTCTCCTTTCTCCAGGCAATAAACGAGGGGCGATTTGTCTTCTTCAGAGGGACCAGGGCAGCTCGCTCCATGGCCCTCCTTCCAAAGGAAAGGCATGTTTCACAGGAGAGGAGTTAGGGAGTGATGGAGAGAGACGGATCAAAGCAGCTCCTCCCGGGGTGGCGAGAGAGAAAAGGAGCCCTGCTTTGGATGAAAAAGGGATCCCGGTAGACAAACGAGAGGACGATTACAGGGCCCTCGGGAGAGGCAGGAGGTCAAGAAGTTGAGGACGGGTTGGCAACACGGGGAAACAGAAGGGCGAGACAATGGGACACCAAGTGGAAGCAGAGGGATGAATGGGGCAGGCCTTGTTTCTTTGCTGACAAGAGAATAGAGGGGACATCAATATACACTGAGTGCCAAGGCCTGGGGTGGGGGTGGGGTTGCTGTAAAGAGATTATATGATGGGGGGAGACACAGCAGGGGTCAGAGGTCACCGGGGCAATGATGCAGATGAACTAGGAGACTGGAAAAAAAAGAACTGAGCAGGATCTTGGAGGAGAAGCGAGACGGAGGAAGGAGATCGCAAAAGGGTCATTTACCAAAGCACAAAAAATTCCTCCGTCTTTTTCAGGTGCCACTGAATGCGAGGCCATCTCTTGAGCCATTTACAAAACAGCAGCTATAATAATAATAATAATAATAATAATAATAATAATAATGTATTGAATGAAACTGGAAAACCTCAATAAGATCCAAAACTACAATAGGTTACAGTCAAGACCCCAATCAAAAACACAGTGGTGTATTTGTTGTTGTTGTTGTTTAGTCATTTAGTCGTGTCCGACTCTTCGTGACCCCATGGACCAGAGCACACCAGGCACTCCTGTCTCCCACTGCCTCCCACAGTTTGGTCAAAGTCATGCTGGTATCTTCGAGAACACTGTCTAACCATCTCGTCCTCTGTCATCCCCTTCTCCTTGTGCTCTCCATCTTTCCCAACATCAGGGTCTTTTCCAGGGAGTCTTCTCTTCTCATGAAGTGGCCAAAGTATTGGAGTCTCAGCTTCAGGATCTGTCCTTCCAGTGAGCACTCAGGGCTGATTTCCTTCAGAATGGATAGGTTGGATCTTCTTGCAGTCCATGGGACTCTCAAGAGTCTCCTCCAGCACCATAATTCAAAAGCATCAATTCTTCAAGAATTCCTTCCCTCTTCACCAGACACCTCGCTCAAATTAATCTGCAACCCAATTGTAAATATATTTACACTGAAATGCAGTACAAAAGGCCAGCCTAGCATTCTTTAGTCCCAGATTGGGCTTAGCTCACTGTGAGAGCAGACCCACTTAAACCAATGACTCCCTTATGCCCCATTGATTTCAACGGGTCTCTCAGGCTGCAATCCTAAACCCAGGAGACCCTATTAAATGCAACAGGATGTTTGGACACAGGCTGGAAAGGGCTGATGGGAGTTGTAGTTCCAGACCTAGCAGTCACCAGGCTGGGGAACGCTGCACTAACAACCGTGGCATAATAATTGGAGTTGCCTCTATTAATCTAGTCCTCTAATGAAGGATCCTGTTTTTGGAAGCAGAGGTGGCTCACCTGTGGCCTTCCAGGTATGGAAGGGCTCCAACTCCCATCATCCGCAGCCAGCATGGCCAATGGTCAGAGAAGCTGAGAGTTGCAGTCCAGGTATATCTGGAAGGCCGCAGGCTAACCACCGTGGCTAAAGGGTCCCAACTTCCTCTACATAAGTTCTTTCAAGATTTGGTGTTTGGATGTTGCGATGGATGACTGATGAAGAACCCTGCTACCAAGGCAGGGAAGGAAAAACTCCGAGGGTGGGAGTCTGAGAGAAGAAATGGATGCTCCCAGGTGATAACTGGGAAGGTCCACCCCCCTTTTGTGTGAGATAAGGGTTAATATTGTTGCAGAAAAATTTGGGCTTGGGCTGTGGTCTTTGGTTACGGGGTTGGGCGATTTCAAGTCTTTAAAGGTTCTTGCAGACTTTTGTTCTTGGTCTCCTTGCAAGGGGGGGAAACTCTGTTGCAACAGAAAAATGAAGATTTTCCTTGTTTTCCTTCTACTGGTTCCTGCCTCCATCTATTCTTCTCTGACCGGTTATGGACTTAGGGAACTCAGAGTCCCTTGGGGAGTCGGGCAGCAAAAGCTAACCCCATTTCCCCCCCTACAAGCTCTAGCCCTGATAGAGAGTTCTGTATTTTATTTCTCTCTATCGTCCCTCCTATTTTCCCCCTTTGTTTTCTCTCCCTTTCTTTTCTCCTTTGTTTCTTTTCTTTTCTTCTCTATTTTTATTTAGATGAGTTTGATTTTTATCGTATGTTGAAAACTTTCAATAAAAATTCAATTTTTTTTTAAAAAAAGATTCGGTAAATGGAGAAGGAATTGCGCTTGGCTCTTCCTCCCGCTCTGCAACAGCGTGCGCCGTATTGTTCGCCTTCTACAAAAAGGAAACAAATGATGAAATAAGAGGCATCAGAAGTCTGCTTGTCAATGGAATCTACCCAGGCTGATTGCCACGGCCGATTGCCGCCCGGTGACGTTAATCAGCCTTGCATAACCTGCGCTGCAGCATGAAAGCAGGGCTTGTAAAATGGGGCCAGCACCTTTCATTTCAGACTCTGACTCCCATCGGCCCCACGCAGCACACAGAGAGACAGTGTGGCATAGTGGTCAGAGCACTGGCCTTTGGGAGAGCAGGGTTCAAATCCCTACTCAGCACATGGAAGCTCAGTGGGTGACCTCGGGCCTCTCACTGGACTGTCAGCCTAACTTACCTCACAGGGTTGTTGTGAGGAGAAAACAGGGAGGGAGAAAGCCCTGTACCATCACTTTGAGACCCTAGGAGGAGAGGTGGGACATAAATATAATGTTATTATATAATAAGAGTTGTAAATCTGAGAGTGGTTTAACAATTTGTCAGCCACAGCTGACCAACGATTCAGGGGCCCTGGCCTTTTTTTGTGTGTTTGTTTGATCTGCCCTAAGCACCTCACAACTATTCCCCAGTACTGAGGTGGGGAATCGGCTTTAGCCTGAGGGCCGAATTCCATCATTCAGGGGCCAGAGACAGAAAGTGGGTGAAGCTATGGGTGGGACTCATACTGTTAAGTCGATTTCCCCGGGCGATGGATGAGCCGGTAGTGGTAGGCAGCCAGGAAAACAGTCCAGCGCAGCATGCGTGGTGAGAGGACCGGTGGAGTTGGACGATCACCGGCGAGGAGGCCCAGGAGTGGCTTGTGGTCAGTGATGAGGTCAAAAGTCCTGCCATAGAGGTATTCATGGAACCTCTTCACTCCAGCCACAAGTGCCAATGCCTCCTTGTCGAGCTGGCTGTAATTCCGTTCCGTCGGAGATAGAGTCCTGGAAAAGTAGGCGAGCGGTGCTTCTCTTCCATCTGGAAAACGGTGACTAAGGACAGCACCGATGCCAAAAGGTGAGGCGTCGCAGGCAAGGACCAGCGGCCTGGATTCACTGTACTGTACCAGCACACTGTCTGAAGAAAGGAGAGCCTTGACCGCGTTGAAGGCCGCCGTCTCCCGATGACCCCAGGCCCAAGGCGTCTTAGTGCTAAGGAGTCGGTGAAGAGGCTCAGCCACTGTGGCTTTGTGGGGCAGGAACATGTTATAAAAGTTCAGCAGCCCCAGGAATGCCTGCAACTCCGTTTTGTTCTTTGGGGTGGGGGCCTGCTGGATAGCGCGGATCTTGGATGTGGTTGGATGAAGACCGGAGGCATCGATAAGATAGCCCAGGAACTCTACCTGTGGAACGGCGATCTGGCACTTCTCCCTCTTTACCTTGAGCCCGGCCTCCTGGAACCTGGTCAGCACGGCACGGAGGCGCTCGAACAGCTGCTGGTGTGAGTCTGCAGACACCAAGACGTCATCAAAATATGGTACCACGCCCGGAAGCCCTTGCAGGAGACGCTCCATAAGGCTTTGGAAGATGCCAGGAGCCACACTCACCCCGAACTGCAACCGGCGGCAACGGAATGCCCCCCGGTGGGTGACGATCGTCTGGGCTTCAGCAGTGGCATCATCGACTGGCAGTTGTTTATAGGCTTGGGCAAGGTCCAGCTTAGCGAAGACCTTACCCTCACCCAGGGAATGCAGCAGGTGTTGGACAACAGGAACCGGATAAGCGTGCTGCTGAAGTGCCTTGTTGATCGTGCACTTGTAGTCAGCGCAGATTCTCACCGACCCATCTGGCTTGACAGGCGTGACGATGGGGGTTTCCCACTTTGCGTGGTCAACCGGCTCCAAAACTCCTTGGGCGATCAGTTTGTCCAGTTGTTCGTCCACCTTAGCCTTGAGAGCAAAGGGAACCCGGCGTGGCTTTAGCTTGATGGGGGCGACTTGTGGATCAAGGCTAAAGGAGATGGGCGTACCTGTATATTGGCCCAAGGTGCCGTCAAAAACCTCGGCAAAGTCTTTGACCAGACCCTCAGTCTCTGCGTTAGAGATGCAGTTGATGCCGGTGACTTCCAGGCCGAGGGCATCAAACCAGTCTAGCCCTAGGAGGCTTGGCCGCTGACCTTCGACCACCACCAACCAGAGCAGGCCCGAAAAATCCTTGAAGGCAATCCGGAACCGGCCAACGCCTACCACGGGAATGTCGTTTCCCTGGTAGTCTCTCAGGTGTACGCGGTGAGAGTCGAGTTGCCTTTTGGACACTCTGGGTACCAGTCTTTTGATGGTGCTCCATGACACGATGGACAGGGCAGACCCGGTGTCGATCTCCATGTCACATGGAGCTCCTTCAATGAGCACCGTGACGTTCAGCTTGCGTCGCGTAGGCGAGTCGGTTTGGCCAATCGTGGTTCCAGACGGGCAGCGGCAGTTGGTGAGAGCGAAACAACTTTCCTTGGCAGACTGGAGTGAAGACTTGGACTTGCGAGTCGATGAAGGGGGGGTGTCAGACGGAGCTGATCGGCAGACCTTAGCGATGTGGCCCCTTCTGGAACACTTCCTACAGATGGCGTCTCTGAATCGACACTTGGCACGGGAATGGTTGCCTCCGCAGCCAGCACATTCCGGTTGGCCCTTGGACTTCTGTTGGAACTTCCTGCGCTCCCGCTTTGTCTGGTGCACGTCATCGTCTTCACTGGAGGATGCCTCCTCACTGCTGGCCTCTTCATGATGCACCGGAACTGGCTCCCTAGCAAGACGCGGGCTGCTGGACTTGCGGATCTCCTGGGCGGAGCGTTCAGCAGCTTCTGAGGCCACAGCCTCCTCAATGGCTTTCTGTAGCGTGAGGTCTGGCTTGGCTAGGAGGCGCCGTTGCAGATGGATGTCCCGGACCCCGCAGACGATTCGATCCATCAGGGCATCGTCTAAGTCTCGGAACTCACAGTGCATTGCAGCCTGTCGCAGGGCGGTGGTGTAGTTGTTGATTGACTCCCCCTCTGCCTGGTTCCGGTGGTAGAACGCATGGCGGGCAGCAATCTTGGACGGCTTTGGTGCGTAGTGGTTGCGGAGCTTCTCTTGGATCGTGTCCCATGGTGTTGCCTGGACTGCTTCAGGCGCAACCAACGCTCGGGCCGTCTCAAACACCTCAGGCCCACAGAGGCTGAGGAATAGGCCCCGCTTCCGATCCTTTGATACTGCTGTCAGCTCGTTGGCTTGGAGGTAGCAGTCGAACCGAGCGAGGTAGGAGTCCCATGATTCAGAGGCTGGCGCAAACGGCGGTAGAGGCACAAGTGAAGCCATGATTCCGATGCCGGCGTGAAGGGCGATGGATGGAACACAGTGCTCTAGCCAGAACAGTCAGCTCTGAATTGGTTCTGCCCAGTGATTTCGCTCAGTGATTTCGCTCTGTGATTCAGCTCAGTGATTCAGCTCAGTTCAGAGGCTGGCCGCATCTGGCTGTGCTCTGATGTCCATCCATCCCATCCTCGTCGCCAGTGTTAAGTCGTGGGTTGACATAGCAGCCGGCACAGCGATTTCTTCAAGTAGCTCTTTATTATGGTAAGCTGGAATAGAACTGACTGCGAACAGCTCAGCCGGCCTGTATTTATAGGCAGCCGGCTGTCAACATTGTAACCACAACAGCCCAGAGTTCCCGCCTAAACTAACTGGCGCGGACCTGAGTGAAAACTATCTACAGACCTGAGTGAAAACTATATACAGTATCCCCCTGTTGGCCCAGGGTGAAACTACACTACATAACACATACCCTATGTATATTAAGTCAGTAGAGAGCCTGTCAGTGTTGGACCAGAGTGTGAATCCTCACTTAGCCATTAAGCTCGCAAAGTGACCTTCAGGCCGCTCACTGTCTCTCCATCTTACCTACCTGTACCTATGTACCTAACTCACAGGGCCATTGTGAGGAAAAAATGGGGAGGGAAGAACCATGTACAGCACCTTAGACTCCTTGCAGCTGTCCTCAACCTGTGGGTCCCCAGATGTTGTCGGACTACAACTCCCATCATCCCTGAGCTCTGGCCTTGCTAGCTAGGGGTGATGGGAGTTGTAGTTCAACAACGTCTGGGGACCCACAGGTTGAGAAAGGCTGCCTTAGGGGCAAAGGTGGCATATAAATAAATAAGGGCATTCCAGCTGCACAAAATTCACACACACACCTCTCCATCCAGCCCAAGCAAGAATTATCACTGTTCAAAGACACATTCCAGCCAGGCAAAGGCTCTTGAGGCAGGGCTGTGACAGTCCCAAGGACCAGATGGAGAAGCCTAGAGGGCCGCAGTTGCCTCCAGGCCTGAGGTTCACCATCCCTGCCCTACAGCTTAAGCTCTGTTCCTCCTGTGAGCAGCGGCACAACCTCAACGATGATAGTCGATTGTCCTGTGAGAACAGCTTGAGCCTCGTGCCCCTACACGTTGTGGGCACAAGTTGCCGTTTGCCAGGTGTCCACCGCTGATGGCTAGAGAGGAGCCGTAAAAAGTTCTCATGGGGCCGAGGCTTCCCGTCAAGAATCTCGCCCGACGAGTTTTGCCAGAGCGAGAGAGCTCACTCCCTCTTTCTTCATCGCTCCCATTGTTGGGGCCGCCCTCCGAGCCACTCAGCCACAGCTAATGGCACGCCAAGGCCATAAAAGTGTTCAGCGTCTTTACAGTCCCACTCTGGCGTTTGTGGCCTTTTGTATATCCCCGCAATTGCGAGTTCATCTAGCCCGCTGCGTTCCCTCATTTTTATCTCCCTGTTCCCCAGGAGAGCGAAAGCCAGGCAAATGCCCTTGCCTTGCTGCAGCAGATTCTCGTTGCCATATTGGCACATGTGTTGACATGACCTCACGCAAGGAGGGCCATGGGTCAGTGGGCAGAGACCCGTGTGTGTGTGTGTGTGTGAGTGGAGAGTCACAGGTTCAATCCCCAACAGCAACTCCAGGCTCTCCCCAAACCCTGGAGAGCGGCATAGAATAGAATCATAGAATCATAGAATCATAGAGTTGGAAGAGACCACAAGGGCCATCGAGTCCAACCCCCTGCCAAGCAGGAAACACCATCAGGCATCAGGGGTGGTTTGCACCCATTGGAGCTGGTAGGGCCGGGAGACCAACAGGAGGTGGAGCCAAGGAGAGGCAGTGCCAGGCCCTGATTGGCTGGAAGGAAGGAGGGAGGCTGGCTGTGGGCAGGCTGAGATTGGTGGGGCAGTGCCCCATTTGCCCTGAGGAAATGCTTCCTCCCACTGCAGCTGTTGGCTGTCAACACAGACAGTGCCGAGATACATGGACCAGTGATCCGACTCCGTATAAGGTAGCTTCCAAACAGTCCCGTTTGAGTTCTGTCCCTTCCATCTGAGCTTGTCAGTCGCTTTGTAAGCTCCAAGTGCTCTCCTTTACCAGGGGGGGACCCTGTCTGCTAATATTTCTCCCCAGTCAGCAGCCCTGTCTCTATTTCTGACTTCCATGGATAAGGACCCTGGAGAAGCTTCTGCAAGCCAGAACCCACCTCTTCGGATGCATGAAGTGTTATCCTTCCAGACACAGACGATTTAGTGGCCCCCAAGCATTGCTCTTCTGCTTTAATTTCAGGGTGAGGAGAGAAGAAACGAAGGCAGTGCTACTTGGGTAGGGCAGGGCTAAAGTGACCAGGATAGTACCTAGGGAGAAGAGAGAGAAATGCCTAGAGCAGGGGTCTGCAACCTTTAAGACAAAAAGAGCCACTTGGACCCGTTTATGAAGAAAAAACAACCTGGGAGCCGCAAAACCATTGCGACATTTAAAGCATGCGCGCCGCTGCCCTCCGATCTGACAGCGGGTGGGAAGGTGACGTCGGGACGGTGCGTGAGTAACGCACGCACTGCCCCATGCGACGTCACAGCCAGTACAGCGCCCGCCACAGTGGGGAGTGTCGGGGCGCACAATGCGCCTCCTCCCCTCGCTAGTATCCACCCCGGAGCCGCGGCAAAGGTGTAAAAGAGCCACGTGCGGCTCCGGAGCCGCGGGTTGCAGACCCCTGGCCTAGAGCAATTGAGAGAGGCAGAACAGCTGTGCTATTTAAATCCCACTGAATTTAAGAAGTTGGATGACCAGAGAAAACGTTGGGAGGGGCTCCACTCCACCCTATATGTACTGTTTGACACAGAATCGTAGAATTGGAAAGGACCCCGAGGGTCATCTAGTCCAACCCCTTGCAAGGCAGGAATCGCAGCCATAGACTCCTTGACAGATGACCATCCATACTCTGTTTTGAAACCTCCAGCGAAAGAGAGTCCACCATCTTCCGAGGGAGTCCATTCCGCTGTCGAACAGCTCTTACCGCCAGAAAGTTCTTCCAAATGTTTAGTCGTAATCTCCTTTCCTGTCATTTGAATCCATTGGTTTGGGTCCTACCCTCTGGAGCCGTAGCAAACAAGCTTGCTTCCATTTCCCACACGAAAGCCCCTCAGATATACAGTGGTACCTCAGGTTACAGACGCTTCAGGTTACAGACTCTGCTAACCCAGAAATAGTACCTCAGGTTAAGAACCTTGCTTCAGGATGAGAACAGAAATCGCGCGGCGGCAGCAGGAGGCCCCATTCGCTAAAGTAGTACCTCAGGTTAAGAACGGTTTCAGGTTAAGAACGGACCTCCGGAACGAATTAAGTACTTAACCTGAGGTACCACTGTACAAGGTTGGCTCTCCTATCACCTCTCCGTCTTCTCCAGGCTAAACACTCCCTCCACCGTTCCTCACAAGGCTTGGTTTCCAGTCCCACAAGTATATACGTTGTTACGTTGTTACGTTGGCTGCTTTTACGTTGTTGGCTGCTTTTAATAACCGTCCGGCCTGATGAAAAATGCTGTTGCCGTTTCCCTCCCTTACAGTCTGGGACTTTCTGATTAATGGTGCCCTTTACGGCCAACCTTTTGACTTTTCTGTGTGTGTTTGTGTGTTGGGAGGGGGCCCAGAACACTGATAAGAAGGCCCTGGGTGGGCACGGCACCCAGAAAACAGTTTTCCTCACAACTTTTTTTCTCCCTCTTTTTCATTGCAATGATTCCTTGCTACCCCCTTCTATTTTCTTTTTACAGGAAACAAAGAAAAGACACTCCAAACGAATTCCGCTAGGGTCATTAGCTGGCTCTCACTTGCCTGATCTTCATTTAGACGGCGGTGACTAATGGCCGTTGTGAGGGGTAAGGGAGAAGAGAAGGGGCATTTGTGTAACAAAGATCTATAAATCATCTCAGAAGCGCAGGAGGATCCATCACTCAACCAATAAAATCTATTCAGCGGGACAAAGAGAGGAAGGGAATCCCAGAATATTCCCTCATCGTCAGCTGGTTCCCCCCCCAAACAAAAAGTGTGTGTGTGGGGGGGGGTGTCCTTCCATTCATAATATACTTTCCACACACCCCTTAATAGAGTATCCGGATTTGGGGAGCTCTGTCTGTAATAAATAGGACCAATGCTTCAAATTGGGTTTGTCTGGTTTGTTACTTGCGATGGCTGCTGAAGAAACAGAAATGAAAGTTAGTGGGGAACCACACAAAAAGTCAGAGCACAGCAGTAATGCTATTAGGACCCACAAAGCAGTAAAAAGAATCCCAGTGGATGGCAGTGAATTTTGCACAAATGACGCGACGGTGATAATAATCCATACTTGCATTCCGTCTCTAAGGTGCTCACATCGCTTTACGTAAAAAGGCCAGTATTACTGGCCTGCCATAGACAACAAGGCTGGTGACTGAGGTGGGCTGAGACTTGAGCATGCACGCTTGGCTTGGAAGGGAAAAGGGAATCTTACTTCTAGGCTGGCTTTCCCCCTCCGAATAAAACTTCCAGAGTAAAATACAAAGAACTCCAAAACATAATAATCACAATAATAATTGTGCCACTCAGTGTAAAGCAATTTAGGCAAATTTTGTAAACAAACAAACCAAACCAACCAACCACAAGCTTTGTACAGAGTACAACGATGTTTTTCCTATTCATTGTGCTATCAAAGCTGCTGTTTTGTGAGGTCATGTTGCATATTTTAAAATAATAATGTGTTTTTGTGTTCATGCACTTTTATAATAATAATATGTATTTTTACCTACGCTCTTAAATAAGTTGAAAGCTCCTTGGAGATCTTTTTTGTGCAAAAAGCAACTAACATATATGTAGATAATGATATTGATGGTGAACCTGGAAAAGTGAAGTATTTTATAAACGAATCCCGGCTCATTGATATGGATAAGAAAGTCTGCACACCCAACCCAACCCCACTTAGATGACTATTAAAAATTCTATTCCGCCCTTCATCCAAGGATCACAGGGCGGTTTGCCATATAAAAACACAAAAATGCACACCATAGTAACAAGCACAAACAATAAATCTCTCCCCCCCTCCCCCGTTTCAAAAGCCACACTTTGCTGCGCGTCAGCCCCACTGAACTCAAAAGCACTTCTGAGCAGAGGCAGCCACTTGTGCGAAGCAGCTGAAGTCCTCACTGCGTGCCTCGGGTGCCCTCAAGCGGTGGCCACTGGAAGAGCAGCCAAGACTGCCTCGCGCGAAGCGGCGTTCTTCTCTGAGACTCAGCCTGACGCCAAAGAGATAAAGTCACTATGGACCTATAAATGCACTTCCGGGATCCCACGCAAATAACTGTAACACTGTATATCATAAATATTTTGGGCTAGAGCGGCTCCTCTAATTTTTTTTTAAATATTATTAGAAATGTAATTTTATTGCTTTTTTTTTAACCTTGTTCAAATATTTTGATGATAGCTGAAGACTGCAGTCCAGTGGCTACTTACCTGAAAGTTAAGTCTATTCTGTAGAAGCCTATAAAACTCCACTCAGAAGGAAGTTCTATTGACTTTACTGGAGCTTACGTACATACTTTATCTCTGAAGCCAAAGCAGGTGCTGTAACTTGCTAGCGGTTTGACTTTACCCCCGGAAGGCGCACTCTTCCGTCGTCTCCCGAGGCGTACAGATGGATGCCAAACCACAAAAGGAGCTTATACTGTATAGTCAAAGTGAGGGCGCCATATGGAAACCGGAACGTAGGGCTAGCCGTAGCTCACCTTCTCCTCCCGCATCTCTATAACTTTAAAGAGAAAAGCGACTCTCTACCTTCCTTACCCTCTCTCTATGGTTCTACGACCGGAACCGCTCCGCCTTACTTCCGTTTCTTCTTCCGGGTTCGCTCCCCCTCCCGCCCGTTCTCCGAGTCCCCCGTTGCCGAGCAACGCGGGCACTTCCTTCCGGGCCGCGCGGTGCCTGTCGGGAAGCATGGATTCGCACGAGCTCTTCCGAAAGCTCGGAGCCGGCGCCAAGTTCGACGTGAAGCGCTTCAGGAGAGACGCGGAGCGATTCAAGGTAAGGGGGGGGGGAGGCAAAAAGGCAGCCATTCTCCCCCTGCCTGGAAGCCCCATCCCTGGCTTCACTTTTGTGGTTGGGCCTAGTTCCACGGGAAATGCGCTCTGTTCACCCCCAGGAGCCCTTGGTTCCTTTATTATTATTTTAGTCTTATTCTCTCGTTCTCATTTACGGACAGTTTAATTTTCATGCCCTTGACATAAGTGGACTAAGAGCTTTTGCCCGGAGTGGGGAACTTGCTTCCCACCAGAGGGCCGCCTTTTGCTTCTTGTCAACCTTCTGGGGGCCACATGACAGTAGTGGGCAGGGCCAGAAGGAAAAAAAATGGGTAAGGTGAATGGAAGTAAAATGCAACCAAGTACAGTGGTACCTCGGGTTAAGTACTTAATTCGTTCCGGAGGTCCGTTCTTAACCTGAAACTGTTCTTAACCTGAAGCACCACTTTAGCTAGTGGGGCCTCCCGCTGCCTCTGCGTCACCGGAGCACGATTTCTGTTCTCAACCTGAAGCAAAGTTCTTAAACTGAGGTTAGCGGAGTCTGTAACCTGAAGCGTATGTAACCCGAGGTACCACTGTATATGGTTAAACCCAGTGGCTTTTTTTGCTTTAAAAAGTGTTTAAGGGTACTCTCATTTTGACTCAAGAAAATGACCATTTTATAGATCAAATCGGGAAAGCTAAATACAGTAAATGGACAAAAGTACAAGGATTCACAAAATGTTTAGGGGTAAGTGTACACCTGCGTGCCCCCAGAAAAAAGTACTGGTTAAACCAGTTTCTACACACACTTGCACACCTCTCCCCCCCCTCCAAGCAACTGCCATTTTCACAGTTCTGGGGCACGTCTCCGGCCAGCCAAAAACACTTAAGGAGACAGTAAAGTAGAGCTCATGAAGGGTGGGGCTTGGGGAGTCTTCTGAAGGTCAGATAGAGAGGCACAAAGGGGCATTTTTGGTCTATGGGCTTGAGGTTGCCCCATCCTGTCTTCCTCCACCGTGGTCTTTAAGATGCCACCAGGCGCTTTGATTGTTTTTATTCCAAGAGATGCACACAGCTATGCCTTTGGAAGTAATTTTTATCGCGCTGCACATTTTATTCTTGTAAAGCAGTGGCGTAATGGAGCAGGAGCGAAGCACCGTTTATTTTACAGGCAGGAGTGAAATGATGTGTTCTCCATTTGAAAGTCCTCTGCATGGCAAATGAAGTTTTTGAGCCCTGGCTGGCTTTGTAACCAGGCAGTGTTCTTGGTACCTGGTTTTCCCTGGGGAAACAAGAACTCTGTTAAAACCACAGGTATGTTGTGGATCTGTTTGATTTCAGGTGATCAGAACTAAGGATAAAGAAGCCGGAGCATCAGAGATTCTGGGAGAGCTTGACTTCTTTGCTAACCAAAGCAAAAAACCACCCAGTCCTTCAGATGATGGCAGAGAAGGAAATGGTCTTCGTGAACCCCGAGTTGAAGCATTGGAATCACAACCTGAAAATAAAGGAAATGAACCCAAATTGGTGGGCAAGGCGAGGGCTGCAGAGAAGAGAAAAGGAGATGGGCAAAGCATGGAAGGGAGGGGCAAAAAGAAAAAGGCTCAAGGTAAACGAATGAGCAGTTCTTTTTAAAAAGAATACATTCTTTTTTATTCTTGTTAAACCAATGAGGCGTCTAGGAAGCATGGGCAGTTGTCAAGTGATACAAACTCATTTGTACACAGTTGTGGCAGCAGAGTAACACTTTAGTATGATTAATCTCTGAGTTGCCTTCCACATATATACTCCAAGCAAATTTAGGGACATTTTCTTAAAAAGCAGCACAACAGAACATAGGCATAATGAACAACGCTGGTCTTCTGGTGGCTTATAATGTTTTCTTGCTGGGTTCAGAAGCTTCTTCTTGTATATTCTTCTTGGACCCTGATCTCCTGTTTTACTTCTGTGATGTACACTGGGCTTACCTGTACTGAGTTATGCCTTTATTGTAATAGGTAGCTTGGAGGAGGCGGTGTAGTTGCTGACTTGTGTTGCACTAGCAGTAATACTAATATTATTATTTGTACCCCACTCATCTGATTGCGTTGCCCCAGCCACTTTGGGTAGCTTCCAACATAATATAAAAAGTTTGGCCCGTAAGACCACTTCCCCAAAACCAAACCCGCCTGTCAATCAGCTGATAGGCCAGGAGTGGGCAGGGTTCAATCTTTCTTGATGCTGCTTTGCCAAACTGCCCCCCCCACGAGTCAACTTTGACAGGAGGGAGGGAACACCCACCTTTCATTCACCTAATTATTATTATTTACATTTTGATTTTTCTGTGAGCCACTTTGAACACATTATTTGGGAAAAATGCGGCTTATAAATGACAATGGCAAATGGCAACATCATCACTGACCTGTCAAAGTTGGCCTGTAGGGGTGGGTGTAGATAAAAGTTTGGGCCCACTGAGCCAAAAAAAGTTTCCCATCCCTGTCTGAAGTGGTGATTACACAGCAATTTAGTTTTCATTTTTTCGTTCTGGTTTATATACAAGGATGTTCTTGAAACTTTCAGAGGCAGCCCCCATAAATATTGGTACTGAAAATGAGGGGATATTGTGGATGTCCACTTTGGAAGCAAAGCTCAGCACTCCAAAGAGCAAGGGGGAGAAGGAGCCCCCTGCAGCAAAATTGGAACAAGCTAGACAAGAAAAGGTGAGTTGGTTCTCTTTAGTGTGCAAGCGATTTGGAAGTAGTAGCAAGTGATAGCCATGAAACGCTCTGGGGTGACATTGGTCCAGTTCCCTCCTTTCTGTCAGTCTCACCTACCTCACAGGGTTGTTGTGAGAATGAAACAGGGAGGAAAACAGGGTGTACCACCTTTAGTTCCTTGGAGGGGATAGGTGGGGTGTGAATGAAACCAGTTAATTAAAAATAAAGTCTGCTGAAAAAATGGCATGTACTTTAATCTCCATCTTAAATGATTGAGGGTTGAATTTGAAGGTTAGCACGAGTTAAGAGCATGATCAAGGGATCCTGGCTATCATTTCATCTCAGAACATATGATAGCAGGGATTGATTTCTAGCAGGTGAGATGTCACGTTTCTAAAAGTGTTCAAAAGGGTGTTGTGCGAGTGAACTTCAAGTCTGCATCCCCAGGGAGCCTAAGACTGCTGCAGTAATGAGCTTGCATTTTCAAAAGTTGTATTAGTTACTGGCATTTTATAATTGCAGGACATGTTTAGGTCTCCCCCCCCCCCCGAGCTGAAAGTTTACATGTCAAAAATTGTGTGCTTTAGTTCAGTCTTAAGACTGGCAACCAAAGCATGTAGATGTGGGGTTTCTTTTTAAATTTAATAAAATAATGACTTCCACTTTAATGTAGCATGTACATCTTGGCATTTTCTAGGTAAATCACTTCAGAAATAAGCACAAGATCTACATTCAGGGAACAGATCTTCCAGAACCTATTGCTACGTTTGAGCAACTTGCAAAGGAATACAACCTCCACCAGAAGATCATGCAGAACATTGAAGCTGCAGGGTTCCAGACTCCCACACCAATTCAGATGCAGGCTATTCCTGTCATGCTCCATGTGCGTCCTGGTTTAATTTTTCACTTTGAGTTGAAACGGTGACGTAGTCTGTGACGTTCCTTAAGTTATCCTTGTTTAACTTCTCCACCAGCAAGAGGGTGGGGGGACGGCGCCTATTTTGCAGGTGTGTTATGAACTCAGATTGAATTATTACCCAAAGTCCTTTTTGTGCGTATTATATACTATCAATGACAGGGAGAACTGAACATTTCTGTGGTGCATTTTTCACCCATTGTGGCTTTCAGCGCTGTACCAGCTGCCTAACCCAGCCTTGGCTCATTCCCTTTTCTCCTCCACCCCACCAGGGTCGCGAACTTCTGGCCTGTGCCCCCACTGGTTCAGGGAAAACATTGGCTTTCGGCGTTCCTGTCTTAGCACACCTGAAACAACCTATGAATAAAGGTTTCAGAGCACTGATAATATCCCCTACGCGGGAGCTTGCCAATCAGGTATGATGATGTTATTGTATTGTATTGTATTTTTGCCCTAAATTGGATTTGAAGGTGCATTTAATGCTTGCTGTCAGGTTGTGAAAGCTAAACAGGGAAGTGTTTCACCCATGTGGTACACCCATCATGTAAGCTTCCCAAAGGAATAGTGGGCAGTAAGTAAGGTGTTGACTAATAGGTGAGAGCAGTGAGTTGCTTTAAATGGTCATATATCTATCTTTTTAGCCCCTGACTACCCACTTTGCTTGGGGTTGGGGAGTACCTTTTACTTATTTACATTACACATTTATACGCCACCGTTTAGACAAAGAAAGGGCTCTCAGAGCAACTTTCAAAAACTCAGGCTCACAATTTTAAAAGACATGTCATCCAAGGAAAAAAGGAATAGCAGGGAGGAGGAAAAAGCAAGCTCAAGCATAAATTTGTAAAGCTGCATCTGATACCAGTGGTAGTTCTGACTTCCAGTGTATTTGTCCATCTAGCCCAGTATTATCTACTCTGATTGCCATCAGCCCATTCTGGGTCTCTGGCAGAAGTCTTTCCCATCACCTGGTACTTGATCTTGTTTTTTGAGTTGGAGAAGCTGGGTTGAACCTTGGATCTGTGCTGAAATATGGGCCCTTCAGTCTGTCATTGCTGTTTATTGTTGTTATTATTATTCTGCCCTTGAACATAACTCTGACTGTGTAGATAATTGGGTCCTTTTTTTAAAAAAATTGCATTCATGTTCATTTTTAAAAATAAATGATTTTTCCTTTATGTTTTAGACACATCGAGAGCTGCTTA